CGAAATCTTCTATTTCTACCTGGGTAAGCTGCCAGAACTTCAGGTAGCCAGGAAATTCCTGTCTCCTTTTTTTTTTAATAGTACTAGGTTTTGAACTCAAGGCCTACACCCTGAGCCACTCCACCAGTCCTTTTTTGTGAAGGCTTTTTTTTTTTTTTTGAGATATGGTCTAGAGAACTATTTGCCCAGGCTGGCTTTGAACTGCGATCCTCCTGATCTCTGCCCCCTGAGTAGCTAGGATTACAGGCATGAGCCACAGGCACCCAGACTCCATCTCCCTTTTTGCTTTCACTTCCCAAGAGTGGCGAGAAGCCTCTTTCACTCAGACTCTTCTTCCCTTTCTCTCAGATGACTGTACAAGCTATTGGTTCAAATGCACCAACAAAGGTGTCTCTTGCTAGAGGACTCTGGGTGCACGGCCTCACTTTAAATAGAGGCTGGTTTACACAGGACAGCTGTGTCACACACTTGGCACTAAGATGCAAGTTTGGAGTCACGTCTAGCTTCTTGCTCCCCCTAGCTTGAAGCCCTCACTGAACCCTAACCTAGGGCTAGGTTAACGTTTGGGCTGCTTTCTCCATGGCTGTGGGTGGGAACGCTACTGCAAACCTGCTCACATTCCTTCCACTTGCTTCCTCACTAGGGCTCTATGCTGTGTGGCAACTTCTGCCTGCCATGCCAAATGCTCTCTTGGTATCTCCTGCCCAAGTGGCCCTGGCTTCCCTCTGCCTTGTCCCAACCTTGGGCATCAGCTCGCTGGGGGCCCCATTGTGCTGGATCTCCACACCAAAACATACTGTACCCACAGGGCAGGGAAGGAACCCTCTCCTCCCCTCCTTCAGAGGCCCAGTTTCTTTTCCTGGCATTCTCCATGGAGGCTGCTGGTGACCTGCGTTAGCTGTTCCTCAGAGCAGCGGTGCCACCACAGCACCACAGATCACTTGAAACCAGAATGGAGTTACCTATGACTGTGACCTGCTCTTTCCTCAGGGATTGGAAGCATAGGTGGGTGTGATGAAGTCGGTCACGGAGAGAAGGGAAAGGGCCATTTTAATGAGGGGGAAAATGAGGCTCAGTAGTGCTTTAAAAAAAAAAAAGGCAGGCAAAGGGGCTGACACCTATAATTCTAGCTACTTAGGAGACTGAGATCAGGAGGATCAAGATTAGAGGCCAGGCCAGGCAAATAGTTCATGAGACCCCATCTCCAAAACAACCAGAGCAAGGGCTGGTGGAGTGGCTCAAGTGGTACAGCACCTGTCTAGCAAGCAAGCATCAAGCACTGGGTTCAAACACCAGTACTGCCACACACACACAAAAAAAAGCAAAATGGCCTGGAGGTGTGGCTCAAGCAGTAGAGAGCTAGCTTTGCAAGCACAAAGTCCTGAGTTCAAACCCCAGTCCCACCAAAAAAAAAAAAAAAAAAAAAAAGGAAAAAGAAAAATGCACTCAAAGTCATAGAACAGACTAGTGTCAAAAGCTGGAGACCAAAATTGGTGCTCGGACCAGAGGCCACCACTGACAATGTCTTTCCTCTTGGATGTGGTCATGACATACATCCAAAGTCCAGATCCCCGGGCTTGCTCACGCATAGAACAGGGAGACCTGAGAACCCAAGTCCAGGGACTAAGCTGTCCCCAACCCTCACCTCGGCCCACAACAGGCCAAGCACAGGTGGAACCCAAATCACTCGTCGCCTTTGGCACACACCCAGGGTCTGGGAGAGCTGCAGTCCAGAGCCATGAGCCTGCCTTCCTCCAGGCCCCCACAGTTGAGATCCGGGGTGTCCTGGTCTTCCTCTGGGAGCCTGTGAAGGGGTGATAGAGAGGGAGGCGCTCAGGATGCTGGCCTCCTGCCAGCCCATGGGCCTATTCCTCCACTGGCCCTGGACACTCCACAGAGGCAGGGCGTGTCTGGAAAGAGCTATGAGGCTATCCCCTGTCAGCACCTATGTGGCACCACAACCACTGAATGTCTCTGAGCTGTACCTACAAAATGAGAGTGACAGTCCTGCTTGGGTGAATGTGCTGGGGGACCCAAACCAGGGCTGGAGTGTCAGGGACTAACCCAACGCCAGTCCCCCGGCATGGGAGGGGGCAAGAGGAGGATCAGAACAGCAGACGGGGAGGAAGCCATGGGCACTCACAGCTGGGGTGGCAAGGACATCCCGTCGATCCAGTGCCAGCCCTGGGGGCCGCGCCGGGCCCCCACCCAGGAGTGTTTGCTGACCGGGTATCTGCTCAGGAAGTCCTGAGGAAGAAAAGAAGGAACCACTTTTTCTGGACACTGGTTGTGGCTCACCTGTGCATCCATTTCCCCCCAGGCTTCATCAGGATCCCAACTGGCCAATCCAGAACAGAATCAGCTCAAGGCACGGCTCACCAAACACCCATAAGTGTGAAAGTTGAACTGGATGCCTGCTGGTTACCAGGCACTGTGCTCAGGATTGGGAGCCAGAAACGAGGGGATCCCATCTCAGCCCTCATAGGGGTGCCAATCAACACACCATGGGTACTGAGTGGGCAGAGTGTGGAAGATCAGAGAAACGACTCAAATACCTAGCAATCAGGAAGCAATTAGGCAAATTCCAAGATGTCAACACGGTAGGCTATTACCAGGCACTGGTGGCTCACACCTGCAATCCCAGCTATTTAGGAAGCTGAGATTGTGAGGATCAAGGTTCGAGGCCAGTCTGGGCAAAGAGTTCGTGAGACCGCCCCTCCATCTCCAAAATAATCGGAACAAAATGGACCAGAGGTGTGGTTCAAGTGGTAGAGCGCCTGTTTTGCAAGCATGAAGCCCTGAGTTCAAACACTCAATCCCACCAAAGAAAAAAAAATGTTAACATGAAATTGTGCCAAGATTTCAAAAAACAACCCAAAAACTCCAGACTCCACCAGCAAGTACACATTGTGCACAGCAAGAAAAATCTACATTGAGGACTAGAAGCATAAATGAACGCACCCGCGTAGGGTTCTTCTTTCTTATACCATTGTTTCAGTTAACAATGAGATCTCTCTTCCTTCCTAGGAAGGAGGAAGTAAGCTTCTGGGTGATGGCTGTCCCCACAGTGTCACCTCACCCATCCTTCAGGTCTCAGCAGAAAGGTTACTGACTCTGTGAGGTAAGCGAGTGCTCCTGTCCTGGGATCCTGTAACCCCCCAGTGGCGGCTGAGCTGTGTGCTGTGCTGTTATAATCACCCACTTGCCAGTTTCCTGTACAAGACAGTGAACTCGGGGAGAACCAGGAGCCTGTCTTACCTGAGTAAGGCCAAAATGCCGCCCTGTGCTCACTGCCATCATCAGTAAGGCCCAGAGTCTTATGGGCCATCAGGTGCCGTGTGCCCCTGTGGGGTCAGCACCAGCCAGTCAGCAGCTGAGAGGGTGCCAAAGCCACTTCCAGACCGAATAAAGGTCGCTAACCTTCCTCTTCCACCCAGATGCAGAGTAGCGAGCAGTCAGGTGCAGCACATTCGGCCCCTTCTGGGCTGGGGCTTGTGGGTATGTCTAGGAGGGGTTCCTGAGTGCACTGCGTGAGGGATAGGGCTGAGCAGCCCCAACTTCCTGCCATAGCTTCAGATCAGCCAGTTTCCGCTGCCCAGCCCGGTTCTCCTGGGAGCCGCAGCCACCTGCTGGAAGGCACTCCAGGACTTGATGGCTGTGCCAGGGCTCAACCTAGTGCCATCTCTGGGACAGCAGAACTTTGGGGTCAGGCTGCCCATGTTCAAACCACAGTGCCAGGCTGGGTGCTGGTGGCTCACCTCTGTAATCCCAGCTCCTCAGGAGGCACAGATCAGGAGGATTGCAGTTCAAAGCCAGACCGGGCATAGTTTGCAAGACCTTATCTCGAAAAAATCCTTTACATAAAAAAAAGGGCTGGTGGAATGGATCAAGGTGTAGGCCCTGAGTTCAAAACCTAGTACCACAAAAAAAAAAAAGGGGGAAAAAATACTCTTTAAAATCATAGTGCCAGTACTTGTGAATTACATGACCTTAGGAAAGTCACTCAGCCTTTCAGAGACACAGTGGAGTCCTCTGTCAAAGGGGAGGTCGTTTGTTATTGAACCTGAATACGTTTAAAGCCAAAGGCACATAGTGCACACTAATTAAATGTCCTTGTGGCTGGGGAACCTCCTGTCCCTGTGCTGTGGAGGGCACAAATGTGACCTCATTTCTGGCTTACAGCCACCCCAGGAGGATACTGTCCTCCTTTTTGTCCCAGTGCCAGACCATCTGGTTTTCCTGGTGACAGGAGCTGTGGGCCTGTCCCTCCCAGCCCTACCTACTCCGTTCCATTGTTTTTCTCCTGGCAGTTCCAACTCTCGTCCTCACTGTTAGCAGTTAGGCAATGTCCAGAGTTGTCATCGGTGGCTCAGAGGACCACTCTCTCACAAGGGCAGGAGAGATCCTGGGGCCTCCACAGCACCAACGTGGACAGAGGGATGTGACTGAGCAGAACAGACTAGAAGTCACATGCTTTGCCTCTTAAAATTAAGATCGATTGTTTGCTATGCCTGCATACATCTTTTAAAAAAATCTGTGGTAAAATATACTACATAACGCAAAATGTACCCATTTTAACTTTTGTGTGTGTTTTGGTACTGGGGATTGAACCTGGGGCCTCAAGCATGTTACATACATACTCCACCACAGAGCCGCACCCCCAGTGCACATTTCAGCCATGGTGCAGAGTGCAGTCCAAGCAGCATGAACCACACTCACGCCGTCATGTAGCCATTGTCACCAACCACCTCCAGGACTTCTCCATCTTCCCCTCCTGAAACTCTGCCCCGTTAAGTACTAACTTCCCAGACTCCCTTCTCCCCGGCTCCTGGCAACCACCTCTATTTTCTTTGTATCTTTCTGCAGAGTAGGCACACACAATTTAAAAATGTTTAAACACTTAAATTTTCTTAATCTTAACCCAATGACATATACTTATCCATCTTTTGGAAGTCTAGACATGGCTTCCACTCAGTGTGTACTGTTAAGGTGGCTTTTGTGGGGGAGAGGGGGCAGGGGGGACTAGGGTCTGAGCTCAGGGCTTTTCAGGGTTGCAAAGCAGGCGCTCTACCACTTGAGTCATGCCTACGGTACATTTTGCTCTGGTTATTTTGGAGAAGGGGTCTTGCAAGTTATTTCTGCCAGGATGGCTTCAAACCTCAATCCTCCCGATCTCAGCCTTTCAAGTAGCTAGGATTACAGGTGTGAGCCACTGGCACCTGGCTAAGATGGCTTTTTGCTGAGGTTAGTGGCACATGCCTGCAATTCCAGCACTCAGAAGATGGAGGCAGAAGGATCTCGAGTTTGAGGCCAGCCTGGACTATATAGCTAGTTCTAGATCATAGAGAGACCCTGTCTCCAAAAAAAAAAAAGGTGGCTTCTTCTCCCCAACAAGGTGCAAAACACAGCAGTGATCCAAACAAAGGTGAGTGAGTCCACAGCACAGGTAGAACTTAAACTTCCTCCTCACTATGGGCATGATGGCTTTCAGGGAAGATAAGCTGTGTTTACCCTGCAGCTGTAGGGACCCCTATAATCTGGTGTGTCCCTTGGGTTTTTGCATCCTACTTGTGTGTTTTCTCCCCACCCCCCGCCAAGCTCTTATACCTCCTGTACTTTCTGGTCCTTGTCCAGAACTCTGGAGGATTCCAGATTTTAAGTGGGAGGAAAAGAAGAGAATGAATAATATTGACATACATCCAAGACACAATGAAACACACTGAAAACTGTTGAACAATACGGGATAGGAGGAAAAGGGTAAGGAAGAGTAATAGAGAGGGTTAGACTGATTAAAGCACAATATATTTACAGGTAAAATACCAAGACAAAACTCCACCAAACAATGAACAGACACTTATACAATGAGGGACAGAATCATAAAACAGGTCAAGTTAAGGGAGGGAAGAGTAAAGAGGCTGAATATGGCTGATGTATTTTCTACACGTGTATGAACGTAGAACACTGAAACATTAAGAAGGGGGAGGGGATGAACCAAACCAGGTACATTGTACACATATATGGAAATGTCACACAAAACTCCCTACATGACTGTTGTATACTAATAAAGCATTAAAAAAAGAAAGAAATGCTTGTGACAGGTAACCCACTGTATTAACTATGAGAGGTCTTATCTATGTAAGTTTGATTACAGAAACTAATAAAGTATTCCCTAAATAATGAAGAAAAAAGAAAGAAATATATGCTGGGATGATTTGTTACCCAGCACTTACAGCGATACCTGACTGGTGTATCCACTGAATGTACTTTATTTCCCATACGTGTGTCTCTGCCAGCAGGCCTGGCTCTTAAGCTCACTGTTAACTGTGTGACTACCAGGCTGGGTGGGGTATCCTAGCTCTGCCCCTTTAGAATGAGGCTGTTGGAGACCTGACGTCCGGTGCCTTGCATGTCACTTTATCCCTCTGGTGACTTCTATATTCTCGAGGGACTAGAGCTAGTTTCTACAATTGTGGGATCTGGAATGATACACCCTCTTGTGCCCACCCTTCTTACCTGAGTGTGGCTCAGTAAGAGCAGGGTAGCATGGTTGGCTGTGCAGAAGGCCTGGCTGGTCTCCCAGTCCTGCGCTTCTGCAGAAACATAGTAACAGTGTTCCTCAGACCACATCCAGCCCGGAGGGCATGGCCGGCACCTGGCTCCTGCCAACACAGAGACCCCAGGGAGTCATGGGTAGCTCTAAAGAGCTAAGCTTGTACACAATGCAAGAACAAAACCTGGCTGGGGGGTTTGTGAGGGGTGATTCTACAGGCAGGGAGCTGGCTGGCCTTGAGGTGGGAAGGAGGGTGGACAGGGCCCCAGGAAGGCAGGAAGTCTGTGCTGTGTGCAAGGCCCCCTAGATGGTGGTCAGTACCCCATTATTAGTCAGGGTACGAGCTGTGTTCAGTGGGAGAATGAGGTCAATTTTTTGTATCTTTGCTCAACCAGCCCAATGATGTCATGCTGGATTTCTCCAGTGTGACATCTCAGTCTTATTCCCAAAGGTGCTGTAGGGTAGAGACTTCCCTTGGGGTGAAGCAGTGGAGAGAGGTGACACCACACCTGCTCTAGAGGCCAGGGCCACAATGGCGACAATGGAGACTGCCAGGAACACCGCCATGACCACCAGAGCAGAGCGCAGGGACTTTATGTACATGCGCAGCCCTGGGGGCGGGTGACAAACAGAGACACAGGTTAGAAGAGACCACCCCAACAATACTCAGCCACCACCAGCATCATTGTCCCCTTGGCTGGAGACACCAGGGCAAACAACCTAACATAAGTTAGGACTCCAGAGCTGGGAGAAGCGTGCTGGATGGCATTCTGTCTGTCCGATCGTTAGGAGATGGAAGATTCTACAGAAGAGAGGAAACAAATGATTGGCTAACAACCATTTACGGAGCATTTCTGCATTAGACACAGGTTAGGCTAGAGTTTACCAGGCCAGATTCAAGTTCTGAGCTGATGGATCACTCAAGTTTTTCCATCAAAATCACACCTGCCTCTTTGGTGTTTCTGGGCCTTGGAGTACCGTGAAGGAAGCCTTCTGCAGTGCACTGTACAGCTGTGATTTGGCAGCGGAAGTGGGCCTGATGTCATGGACCAGGGAGACCAGAAGCTGGGATGAGGCTGCAGGGAAGAAATGAGGAGCAAAGGCCGGGGACATTCCAAGGGGGAAGAAGGACACAGGTAAAGGCTCTGAAAGAGGACACACTTTTATTTGATCTTATTTTGATTTTTTAAAAATTTTGATCATTTGATTTTTTGAGATGGGTCTCACTATGCTGGCTAGCTTTGCCTCCTACCTTAACCTCCCTAGAAGCTGGGATTATAGGTGCCACCATACCTGGCCTGGGACACATCTTTAAAGGTGATGCCTTGTTAATGGATAACCAGGAAAGCCAGAAGGGAAAAGTTGGAGAATAAAAGAAAGTAGGAATGATTTCAAATGCTTAACCAGAGGCACAATCATAAAGTGCGCAACCCCTCTGAAGTAACTGTGGCTTCCTAAATTTCATCTCTGTCTGGACACAAAGCTTGAAATCAGCTGTAGCAAGCTGGAGCACTGCACTCCTAGAAGCTTGCTGCGAGGGCCTAGGGGTCACCAGATCCCAGGGGCTGCAGGGACCGCCAGTCAGTTGAGGCAGGTGGTAAGAGTGCAATTGCCGTATTCCCCAAAGCCCAAGAAACAGCCAATGCAATTCAGCAGCAGTATTTTATGATGAAAAGAATAGCTGTATCGGGAAAATGACACACGAAGATTAGTGTGTTCCTTACCCACATATAAATGTGTAAGTATAGCTGGGCACTGGTGCCTCACACCTGTAATCCTAGCTACTCAGGAGGCAGAGATCAGGAGGATCGAGGTTTGAAGCCAGCCCAGGCAAATAGTTCCGTGAGACCCTATCTCGAAAAACCCTTCACAAAAATAAGGCTGGTGGAGTGGCTCATGGTGAAGGCCCTGGGTTTAAGCCCCAGTACTGCAAAAAACAAAAAGAATTAAAAAACCCCAAAAGTATAAGTACAGTACACATCTACATAAAGAGAGATGGACATGTTTCCAAGGGTTTTTTTTTTTTTTTTTTTTACTGGTTCAAAGTCTCTATGAAGAATTGTAATCTATAAGCATTTTTAAAAAGGAATGCATTCTACAATACAATTGCCAAGTTCAATATACAAGTGCTCACTGTCACACAGGCAATATAACCGTAACTTTCATGATCTTTTCTATTGGACCGAGCTACAGGTCAACATGGGAAGTTCACAGTGTTTGGTCTCTAATCAAATATTATGTAGCAAAATCACACTCAGGTAAATTACCCTACACAAGTAATAGTCCTTGGGTACTATTGGCTTGTTAGTCAATGCCCCATTAGTGTACAAGGTTTTTTAGATGACTTTCTAAATTGTTATTCAATTTTAAAGGAATAAGCACTTTTGAAACTCTTACTTTTTCATTTGCATTGGAGAAAAATCTCTGCTTCAAAGATCAGATAGGGGCCAGGTGAGGTGGCTCATGCCTGTAATCCTCACTACACCAATGGAGGCAGAGATGGGGAGGATCTCGGTTGGAGGCTAGCAGGACACAGGGGAGGGAGTTCCTGAGACCCCATCTTAATAAAATCTGGGCAGGGACATGGTGGCACACACCATCCCAGCTATATGGGAGGCCCAAATAGGAGGATCTCAGTCCAGGGAGACACAGGCATCAATTCGAGAACTTATCCAAAAAATACATACAAGCCAAAAGGGCTGGGACACGCATGGCTCAAGAGGTAGTGTGCCTTCCTGACAAGCACACAGACTGAAGCTCAAACCCCAGAACCACAAAAAGAAAATTAAAAAAGCTCAGAAAGAGAAGTATATTACTTTGATATGCAAAGAGCTGATCTAGGAATTTTTTGATACTGAGACTCTAAGCAGGTACTCTACCACTGAGCTGCACCCCCAACCCTTGCATTTTTCTTTTTTAAATACACAGTTTGCAGCTGGGTACACCAGTAATCACACCTGTAACCCTAGCTACTCAGGAGGCAGAGACTGGGAGGGTAGTGGTTGGGAGCCAGCCCTGGGCAAATAGTTTTTGAGACCCTAATCTCAAAAAAACCCATCACAGTTGGGTGCTGGTGGCTCATGCCTATAATCCTAGCTACTCAGTAGACAGAAATTAGGAGGATCGAAGTTTGAAGCCAGCCTGGGCAAATAGTTTATAACACCCTATCTTGAAAAAAACGCATCACAAAAAAGGGTTGGTAGAGTGACTCAAGGTGTAGGCCCTGGGTTCAAACCCCAATACCACAACAACAAACAAACAAATAAATAGTAAAGAGCACAGTCTTTTAGGGTGATGAATCTAAAAATGACTGGTCATGGTTGCACAATCCTATGAATGATTAAAACTGGTTGAAGCCAGGCACTGGTGGCTCACACCTATAATCCTAGCCACTCAGGAGGCAGAGATCAGGATTGCAGTTCAAAGCCACCCCAGGCAATTAGTTTGTGAGACCCTATCTCGAAAATATCCATCACAAAAAGGCTGGCGGAGTGGCTCAAGGCGAAGGCCCTAAGGTCAAGCCCCAGTACTGCAAAAAAAAAAAAAGAGAAAAACTTGTTGAACTGTACACTTTAAATTGATGAATTTTATGGTGTATGAGTTATATTTCAATAAAGATAGGAGCAATTTGAAAATGCCTGGAGTAAAAGATACATATAAATTGAGTCTTAAAATAAAGAAACCAGAACTAAAAAGCCTGGAGAGGACAGGAAAATAACCCAATCACCTTGGTAATTACTGTGGCTGAACACTGCATTCAGCCCTGACCTTTGAGAAAACAAAACAGTAAAGAAATTCAGTAGAGGGCAAACCTCTCCCATGCCAGTTAGGAGGCCCACCTAATTCTGAACTGCTGAGGTATGGCATGGCCCACTGTGGAGTCAAAGAGGAAGTCTCCACCCCACTCCCTTTGCAAAGCTTTTTTTTTTTTTCCTTTGGCAATAATGGGGTTTGAACTCCAGGTCTTGCACTTGCCAGGCAGGTTTTCTACCACTTAAGCCATGCCCCCAGCCCTTTTTTGCTTTGGTTATTTTCCAGACAGGGTTTTGAGTTTTTGCCTAGGGCTGGCCTCAAACAGAAATTCTCTTATCTCTGTCTACATCTCCAAAGTAGCTGGCATCATGGTGGTGTACCACCCTGCCCAGCTTATCTGTTGATATGGGGTCTTATTAACTCTTTGTCTGGGCTGTCTTCAAACTGTAATCCTTCTGATCTTGACCTCCTGAGTAGCTAGGATTCCAGGCCTGAGCGGCCACGCCCCGGCTGCTTTTAAATCTAATTTTATGAGCCTTCCAACTCACCCCTCCTGACTGCTAAGGCACATCCCACCCCCACGAGAGAATAAGGGGCTTGTGCCAGCAAGAAGTCTGCTTTAAAGATGACTTCAGATAAACGTACTGCCCAGGGCCTCTGCTCCTCTCTATGGGTGACATCAATCGCTTCCGGTGTCTGTCCTCAACGCACTGAGCACTCAGCACATTCTTGCTTCCCCCACCCCATCAGTCCTAACCACCTGAGCAGTCCCAAGCTGCCCCACCTCCTGCAGAAGACCCCTTATCCCTGCAGCCTCAGTTCCTGCCCTCACCTCCATCTCACCCCCTTGTCCCTGCCCCTTCAATGACATCCCAGACTGCCTGTGCTTTTGCTCTGTTTCCCCTGCCTGGTCTGAGGACCCCTCTCCACATCTGATTGTCCTCCTACCATTCTCACCTCTGCGGTCACTCTTCTTCCTTTGACACCTCTATCTGGGGCTTCCAAAGGGGTCTTACTTATTTCTCCCACACCTCTTCCCATAATCTCTACTGTGGAAAGATAGACCATGCATTATCTGGCTATACCAAGTCAGAAATGTGGGTGGTTTCCCACTCTTCCCATTAGTTGGCCTGCATCATCTCATCAGTGGTCAGGCCTGCCGTCCATCAAGCCTTCATCATCTCTAGCTGACCTTGTAGCTGGTCCTCACCTCGGTCTCATGCCTGCGCTATCTTCCTCCACAATACTGTCAGAGTTTTGTTTTGTTTTTTTCAGTACAGCATATAGAAAATAGCTCACTAAACTGGTGAGTAATGCAAGTCCTTCCCAGTCTGCAAACCCTTGTCCTGCCTCAATCCCCCAGGGTTTGGGGGTTTGCCTACTGGGCGGGGATCTAGTCCTTCCTGGCCTTTGTCCCTGCCTATCTCACCTTAGAAGAAGCTTCTACCACCCCAACTCAAGACAGCTTCAGCAAACGTTCCCATGCCAAGTTCACCAGCTACTCCTGGCTGATTCCCTACCCAGAGCTGGTTCTATCTTTTGGGGGCTCTTTCTCCTTTCGTGCCAAGCTCCCCTGACCTCTACAAACAATCACAAACTCACAGTCACACACCACCCTAGCATAGTCTGGTCCCAGGCCAGCATAGGACATGGATGAGTGTTTGGAGCCAAACGCTCCACTACATGGTGGGGAGAACGGGGGACAGTTCGCGGAGAAGTCCCCCCAAGGCGGGGAGGTAGGGTGAGTGGAGGGCGTCCGGTCAGCCCGGAGGCTGTGTTCCTGTCCCAGACGTCACCTGAGCCACCCTCCCTCATAGGGAGTTCCTACCGCCTCTACTTTTCCACACGTGGGCACACTTAAGTAAGGGGAGGGGAAGGACAGTGGTTCTATTCTGTTACCACAAAATCACAATCAGATATACTGGAATATTATTAATTCTCAGGCAGAGAGGCCAGGTGGGGTCAAGGCATCGGGGTGGTCTTCTGGTGTCCTAGTCCCTCTGCTGCCCAGTGCTGTGGGGGCACAGGAGGTCAGGGCGCGCCTATCTGGCAGCGCAGGCTGGTGACACTAACCTATGAGCGTGATGGCCCGGGGCAGTTTCTGGCCATCCAGTCCGGCGCGCCGCAGCAGCTCGACGTCCTCCTCCAGGGCGCGCTCGCGGCAGCCGCACGTGGGGAAGTCCGGGGATCCCGCGCGCTCCTGGGCGGGGCTGGCGGGATCCTCGGCGTCCGGGTCGCGATCGGTCTGGACTGCGGCCAGGGGCGAGGCGCGGCCCCTCGTGCCGCTCGGGGACGGCGCCCGCTGCAGGAGCGGGTGCGCCGGGGAGGCGTGGCGGGAGAAGGCGGGGGACTCCGGCACCGGCACCGTGAGGAAGCGCGTGGAGGGCGCGGGCGAGGGCGAGCGACTGCCGCCCACGGGTTTCACGCGCACATCCACCTGCAGTTCCACGGGTGCCCAGGTGCCGGGCGCCGGCTCACCGGGGGCGGCCCAGGGCAGCAGCTCGACCCCGGATGCCTCGCCATCCCGGAGCTGCTCGGCGGAGATGGGCCCCGGGGACGGCGGCTCCCGGCTGCTGGACCCCAGGCGGCGGAAGGCGCCGTAGCCCAGGCTGAGCGGCGGCACCCGCAGGGGCCGGGGGCGAGGCGGAGGCCACTTGTCGTCCGCGAGGTCCTGGCCCGCGCCCGCCTCCTCCTTCCCGGCCCCGGCCAGCCTCGGGCTGCCATCGGGGCTGTCGGTGGGCACCGGAGGCTGCTCCAGCCCCGGGATTTGGCTTCCCAAAGGCTCTTTTGGAAAATCCGCCTCGGCTGCGCCTCCCCGCGAGGCCTCAGGGACCAAGTCCATCTTGCGCGCTGGCAGCCGGGACAGGCAGAACTGAGTCTACCAGGGCCCCGGTAGGGATGGGCTTTGCCCTCCAGGGCCTGGTTTAGAGCGCTCGCTGAAGTTGCGAGGCCACGCCCCTCTCCTGAGCTGTGATTGGCTGTGGCTATCGGCCACGCCTCAAGCTGAGCGGAACCGAACACAGTCAGACGACTGGGCGGGACCCCAGCAGAACTCCCAGGCCGGGGCCTGATTCTTCCCTCGCTTTTCTCGTCCCTGGCCCCACCCGTTTCCTCCTCCCGCCCTCTGCCACTTCAGGTTCTGAGAGCAGCTAGGGCAGGGAGCGAATGGCCCGATCCGCCTGGATCCCGGGACCTCAGTGTAAATAGTAATAATAATAGTCATAATAATAATAATAAAGTCAGTGAAGAGAGCCAGGGAAAGGGGACGCCCTGCGGAACGCAGCGAAGGGCCGCTGGTTGTCGGGACAGTAAGAGGAAGGGGAGGAAAGGCGCCACTCTCCAGGAGACTCCAGGAGCTCTGGAGCTAGCTTGAGCCATTAAAGTGTGAGGAATGAATAAGCATGAACGTGTGTATTTTTCATGAGGAGAGGAGCCTGGCGTCCCACCAGCCTGGCGATCTAAATATACCGCTTTAAGGATACAGTCCTAGCTACTTGGGAGGCTGAGATCTGGAGGATGGCGATTTGAGCTCAGCCAGGGGAAATACTTCGAGAGACCCTCACCTCCAACAGAACCAGAGCAAAATGGACTGGAGGTGTGGTTCAAGCGGTAACGCTCCTGCTTTGCAAGTGCAAAGCTCTGAGTTCAAGCCCCAGTTCCACAAAACAAAACAAAAGAGATTTATACATACAGATTCTTGGCTGGGCTCCTTCCAGACCTACTAAATCTCAGAGCTCAGAGGGAGATGAATCTTACGGTATTTAAAAAAAAAAAGTGCTTCAGGGTAAGGTTAGGAGATAAATACAGGCTACTCAGTTAAATCTGAATTTCAGATAAACAGGGGATGTGGGTGGTCTCCCCAGCACGTTGGTACTGATGCCTCTCATCACCCGTCCCGCCCCATAGCTAATCGGGCCAATCAGGTACACCTTCGCATAGACTGGCTCCAAGAGACTCAGCTGGGACTGTCAGAACTCCCAAAGGGGTAGCTCTTGGGAGCTGGTCTGCAAACTCCTGCTCAGGTCCCCAGAGTTCGGTCCAGCTGGTCCTCAAGCTTGTGTTTGATTCTCTGGGTTCATGAGACATTGATCTCATACCTCTCTCACTTTTGCCTTACATTAGCATATCATTTATGACTCAATTGCAATTGGCAAAAAACCCAAGTCCTACCTAGGTCTCCTAGAGCCTCTCTGGGGAAAGGGCCAGGCTTTGCCACCATCCCTGTGCATTTTCTGTACATGCCCATTGCATCCTTGAGGCCAGAAGCCATTTCCAGCTTCTAGGGTGGGACACCCTAAGATACTGCAATTTCTCATGTTTCAAGGCAGGGGTCAGATGCCAAAAGAAGGACAAATACCCACAAATACCCACTGTGGTCCTTCCTTCTTCCTTTCATCCTTCTTTCTCTCACTTCAAAACCCTGTTTTCTGGCTGGTGCTGGTGGCTCATGCCTGTAATCCTAGCTACTTGGGAGGCTAACATTGGGAGGATCACTTTTGAGGCAAGCTCAGCAAAAAGTTTGTGATACTCCATCCTCAAGCAATAACTAGGCATGGTGATGCATGCCTGTCTAGGCTAGCACAGGCAAAAAATCCAAAAGACCCCATTTCAACAGAAAAAGCTGGGTGTGGTGGGTCACGGCTATGGCTCCTGTCATCCCAGCTATGGTAGAAAGAGTAAAATAGAAGGATAGGTCCAGACTGGCCTGGGTAAAAAGTGAGATTCTGTCTCCAAAATAACCAGAGCAAAAAGGGCTAGAGGCATGGCTAAAATGACTTTAGAGTGTCCGCCTAGCAAGTGCGAAACCCTGAGTTCAAATCCCAGTACTCTCCGCCCCCTGGGAAAAAAACAAAACCATAAACAACAAACACATAAATACGCTCCAACTAGATTCAGTAGCCAGCACTTCACCACACTTGCTCTCGTTCTATCTCCCTGCAAACACACTGCTGTTGTCAAACTCTTTGTGAGCTGCAGATCTCATGAACTTCTAAGTATATACCACCCCAAAAAATACAATACCACCCCAAAAAAGTGAACAGTGGCTGGGCGCCAGTGGCTCATGCCTATAATCCTAGCTACTTGGAAGGATGAAATCGGGAGGATTGAGATTCAAGCCAGCCTAGGCAAATACTTTGGGAGACCCCCATCTGCAGAATAGCCAGAGCAAAAAGGCCTGGATGTGTGGCTCCAGTGGCAGAGCGCTTGCTTGCAAGCGTGAAGTCTTGGGTTCAATCCCAATCCTGCCAAAAAAAAAAAAAAATGTGAACAGTATCGCCATACTAGAGAAGAATCTAGAGACAATATTTAAAGTGCCTCAATTTTTTTTTGAACCAGGTTCCGTCTAGGGCCACATATTTACACCTGGCTACTGTGTCCTCTTAACTTTTTGCAATAACTCTGGGAGCAAGGTCCTTGCTATGGTATGAATGTGTGCCCCAAGTCAAATGTTGGAAACTTAGTCCCCAAAATCCATTGTTCATGGTATTTGGAGGTGGGACCTTTGGGAGGTGATTGGTCATGAGGTCAGTCTCATGAATGGATCAGTCCATTTGTGGGAATGGCCTTCCTGTAGAAGCAGCTCTCTCTGGCATGTTTGCTCTGTCTCACCTTGTGATGCTCTCAGCCATGTTATAATGCGGCAAGGAGGGCCTCACCAGATGCCAGTGCCAGGCGCTTAGACTGTGCCAAATAAACTTCTTTATAAATTACCAATCTCAGGTGTTTTGTTATAGCAACAGAAAAGGAATGAAAACAAATTCCTTCTACTTAAGGTGAGGAAACAGATTCAGAGAGTTGAGGAACTTGTCCGGGATCTCCTCAGGGAGAAACCCAATGTATCCTCCAACATCTCTGCCTTCCAAACACTTTTGCTTCCTTTTGTCTGCATTATGCCCTGCCTCATCCTCTTGGGCATTTTATCCCAGTCTGGTTAAACTGGTTCCTGCAGGTCTTGGGTTGGGGTGGAGGTGGAGGCAGAGGGGCTGAACCAGTTGTTTGGCAGACTAGGCATCACTTTCAAGTTCCTCCAGCTACCCACAGCCCCTAAAACCTATCTCTTGCTACTGAGACACTTGTCTCAATTGGGAGCCACAAGGCAGCCCTCATTTCGTTAGGGATTCACTTGCTGCTAGCAAGGCCAAGGAGAGACAAACATGGCCTCCGCAGAGGAACAAAAGGTGACTCCTGTCAGGTGTATAGGTGAGGCAGCAATGGGCTTGAGAAAATATTTCAGCTGGATGTGCACAAGCCCGCTGCCGGAGACTTGGAGATGAGCCAGAACACAGTAATAAAACATCTCTCTGAGTCATCTGCTGGTTAGAACACAGCTCCTCCCTTCTTAAGGTCTCTGCCTTTGTTATGGTTTGGATATGAAGTATCCCTCCAAAAGGCTCATGTGCTGAAGGCTTGGTCTCTAGCTAGTGGCACTATTGAAAAGCCAGTGGATCATGTAGTCGCTAACCTCATCAATGGAATAATCCATTTATGAGTTCATACTGGATGAGTTATTAGGAGGTGGGGCCTCATCGGAGGAAATAGGTCACTGGGGAAGGGACTTTGAAAGGTACATTTATTCCTGGCTCTCTCTGTCTCTCTCCTCTCTCCCTCTCCCTCTTTCCTTCCTGCCATGAGGTAAGCAGCCTCCTATGCCACATACTTCTGGGGGCCGATATTCTGTCTCACCAGCTAACCTTGAATTGAAACCATGAGCCAAAATAGAGCTTTCCTTCTTTTTAAGTTCTTTTACGCAGGTATTTTGTCACAATGATGGAAAGCTGACTAACACAGCTCCCCCAAATCCTCTCCTACAAAATGCAGCCCTTGCAGGACGGTAACTGATGGGTGAGTACACACCTTGCTGTCCTGTGGGTTAATGTCCCCAGCCAATAGTCTCTTGGTCTGAGGTTCAATGCTTGGACCTGGCTGGAGTCAGGTGGAAGGTCCAGGAGACCCAGGGGAGAAAAGGAGTACAGCTGGGCCCTGGGACTTGGGACAGGAGAAGCAGTCTGCTCCTCACACCACAGGTCGTAGGAAAATTTTCCCAACAGCTGGAGGGGTGCCCACTGCCACAGTTTGAGGGCAACAAAAGAAGCAGAAGAGTCTGAGGGAGGAGATATAAATTCCCAGAAGCACTTCAGTGAGGAGGTCCCAAATCTGGGGATCCTGTCATCTCCTTCCCCATGGAGCTGAATCAGCCATTGTGGGTGAAATTTGCTAGCCCAGGAGTCTTTAGGCAGAAGGTAACTTTCAAGTCAAATCACCTTGCCAGAGTCCAATGAAAGGGCCTAGAAGAGCACCACCAGTGGCCACCTTTAGTCTGCACTAAAGGTAGACATTGTAGTCTAATCATGTCAGCAGGCAGAGAATTGTGTTTCAAGACAGAGATGATAATTATTTGTACAGTCAGGAAAAAGGCCACGAAGCAGTCGTTTTCTAGGGAAAGGCATAGCGGTGATGGGGGAGAAAAGACTGGAGTGTAAGACAGGGCTTCTCAAATATAGGAATTAGGTGTGCTTTTCCAGCACTGGGCCAGATGGAGAAACATCACATATTACATTTCCTTGGGATATGGAGGGCCTCTGCCTGTCCCCATGCCACCTGCTGCCATGGCCCTGAACCAGTGTGGGTGGAGCCCACCTCGGAGTCTCCAGGCCCTTCTGCATGGACGGACATGCAGGTGGCTGACTTCCCCATCCAACTCCTGGTGCAAAGCCATTCTGCCTCCCTGGCTTCTACACAGGGCCTCAGCCCCATTTCCCACCTAGGCTCTGTTGAAGCTTAGCTTAGTGGTCTGTCCTCCATAATTCCTGGCTATCCTCCTACCCCTCTCCCAGCTCCTCT